AATAATTAATTTTAAGAAAATTTAATGAAAAAAAATCCCCTCCAACCACCGTCCCCTCCAAAATACGGCAGTAACTTCGCAGCCCACTAGCCAAACACCCACCAATTCAACAACCACCAAACACCCAAAATTTGCCACCTCTTTCTACATTGTAGCCCAGACCCGCCAGACCACCAAGCCACCGCTGACAGCTCAAACCCAAGCAGCAGATTCACGGGAATGAGGGTTTTGTTTTGTTTATATATATATATATATAAATCAAAAATTTTTTTTATTAAATCAATTTTTTAAAAATAAGAAAATTGAAAAAAAAAAAAACTAACAAATTACAAAGTGACACTGTAGGCACGAAAAATTTATATTAGTGGCACGTTGGATATTATGTTAGTCAAAGATCAAATTATTGACTTATTGATTATTTGACATTTAATTGATGTAAATTAATTTGGGTGAACAAATTTAATTAGCCCATTTTAATTTAGTTCATATGATTGTCAAGCCCAATATCCAATACACATCAAACCCTAACCCTAGGGTGTCTCACTCTATAAATAGAGGCTCTCTATTTCATTTGAAAGGGAGGAAAAACCTAGAGAGAGAAAAACCTAGAGAGAAAACAAAGAGCTTCAAAATAAAAACACCCTCGACGGCAAGATAGAGATCAAGCTCATCGGCCCTCAATCAACAATTCAAGTCAAAGGTCTACATCAAGTCTACATCAAATATCTTCGATAGAGATCAAGCCTCGTCGGCCCTCAATCAAGAGCCTAAGTCAAAGTTCTGCATCAATCGTCTTCGATCGAGATCAAGCCTTGACAACCCTCGTTTGTAAATCAAGTCAATACGTGAATTACGTCGAAATCAAAGTGGAGATCGAATCAGAGGACAAAATTAGAGATTGTACCCTAAATTATCAAATTAATGAAATTAAATACTTTGTTGCATTTGTTTTGAATCCATATTTTGCAGATTTGAAATTTGTGTTTACAGACACATGTCATGCTAACCCATCAAACAGGTTACCAACCAGTTTTATCCTATTTTTAGAAGATCGTGTGCAAAGATCGTTTTTATTGGGGGATTATCAAAAGGTGGTTTTATTTATAACGGAACGGGCAAATGTCATAATATTCTTGTCAATTTTTCCAATTCTAAGTATCAAGCTTCAAAGTCTCCAATATGATGGAACAATTGAGATGGGGCCATGAACTAAATTAAACAAACTACTTTTTTTTGAGGAAAAAATTAAACAAACAACTAATATTATGGGGGACGCTCCAAAGTATCCCAAAAGTCTCTACCATTATAATTGTACTACATACAAAAACAGGGGGTCCCACCTTCACACTAGGGTGCCAAGCCAGAACCACAAGTGACGGCATTCGGGCCCCACCAAATAATAACCTTAAAATATTATAAAACGTCCAAATTATAATTCTACGGCCTTGATATTATTTCAATGTGCTCCTTGCCCCTAGCTTGCTTCATTCTCAAATCAACTGGCTACACTTTCCAATAATCCCATTACATAAATCAATAATTATGTCTTCTTCAAATAATCACATAACATGTATTATTAGTCCACTCTCTGGTTACAAAACCTCAATCATTCACTAATGTTCCTTGTTAGTCAATCCTTAATTTCACTCCCTAACCATTGGAATCCTCTACTAAATCACACCATATTTATCTGGAAAGTAAGTTAAGTTTCATTTTTCCCACCAAACTTGAGACCTTTGTATTCTATGTCATGGACCAACACATAGATGAACATGACGAGTGTGAGAGCAAAACACCTACTAGGAACATAATTTTCGGAAAGTACGAGGTTGGAAGGGTCCTAGGCCAAGGCACTTTTGCCAAGGTCTACTATGGAAGAAATGACGCGAGCAATGAAAACGTGGCAATTAAAGTGATGAGCAAAGAAGAGGTGAGAAAAGCAGGGATGGTGGAAGCAATCGAGAGAGAAATATCGGTAATGAGATTGGTTCGGCACCCTAATGTGGTCGGCCTTAAGGAAGTCCTAGCTACCAAGGGAAGAATATATTTCATCATGGAATATGTGAAGGGAGGTGAACTATTCTCCAAAATAGCCAAGGGAAGACTCAAGGAGGAATATGCAAGAAAGTATTTCCAACAACTTATTAGCGCCATCGATTATTGCCATAGTCGCGGGGTGTCACACCGCGATCTCAAGCCAGAAAACCTTCTCCTAGACGAGAATGAAAACCTTAAGGTTACCGATTTCGGGCTGTCGGCTTTGCCGGAGCACCTCAGGCAGGATGGCCTGCTGCACACCCAATGTGGGACTCCCGCCTATGTTGCCCCGGAAGTGTTAAGGAAAAAAGGTTATGATGGAGCAAAGGCGGACATTTGGTCTTGCGGAGTAATATTGTTTGCTCTACTTTCAGGGTATTTACCATTTCAGGATGTTAACTTGATGAAGATGTATCGGAAGATATTCAAGGGTGAATACGAGTTTCCTCCTTGGTTCCCTCCTGATGCGAAGCGCCTTGTTTCGAAGCTGTTAGTTGTTGATCCTAATCGAAGGCTTTCTATTCAGGGGATCATGAGGCAACCTTGGTTTCGAAAGGATCCTCTGTCATCTTCTCTGGCTCAACCCCTCCAAGTCCCCGAACATCAGCAGCTAGTAAAGGAGCCTAAAGTGGCATCACCGCGGTTTTTCAACGCTTTCGAGTTCATATCATCGATGTCATCAGGGTTCGATCTGTCCAGCTTATTCGAAAGTAAGAAGAAATCGGGGTCTATGTTCACATCCAAGTGCTCTGCCTCGGCAATAATGGCAAAGTTTAAAGGGCTGGCTATGGCTAAGAAAATGAATGTTGAAGTGAGTTGGAAGGAGTCCAAAGTGAAGATGCAGGGGAGGGAAGAGGGGAGAAAAGGGAGGTTGCAAATGACGGCGGAGGTGTTCGAGGTGGCGGCGGAGGTGACGGTGGTAGAGTTGTCAAAGTGTTCAGGGGATACACTTGAGTATGTCAAGTTTTGTGAAGAGGATGTAAGGCCTGCTTTGAAAGATATTGTGTGGAGTTGGCAAGGGGAAACCCACTGCCAACTTAACTGTAATTCATAATTCTATTTTCTATTTTCTATTTTAGGCTAGGTCGCTGTAATTTTTAAGATTCTTCACTTGTTTATGATTGGGGTCTCATGTTTTTTTTTTTTTTTTTTGTAACATATGAAATCCTATCTACTTGGTATCATGAATCATGATTGATCTACAGCTAGAATGTAGTGTAATTTAGATCATATTCATGTAAGACCTCCCAAAATATTGTAATGTCTTCTTAAATCATGCATATAATTATTATGTTTTATCCCTATCTTCAGCTAATTCATTGAACAAGTTAAATATCTGGTTAGTAATAAATTCATCATTATCATTGTCACTAATTACTCATTAAATGTAAGTCATATAATGTCAGATTATTGGATGATTTTATACTAATACTCCGTAGTAGTTACAGAGTATTCAACAATGGGAAGCTGTGACAAGACATATATAGGAGAAAGGTTTGTTCACCTTCAGTTTCGTATTTTCTGTGGGCGATTGCAAACTTATGATGTTAACATTATATCTCTCATTTTTAATTTATTAATTATTTAGAGTACACAAATATCTTTGCGCACTTAATCTGTTCCAATTACTTACCGACATAACCGATTGCCCTTTTTTTAGGGAAACCATAGTAAAGTGTTAAAAACCAGTATATGTTTCATACTTAGAATCATCATATATTCTTTTTAGATCTTCTTTATTTTATTTTTAAATAACTTTCTGCCCAGCTCTTACTAGGCAGTTTAGCAAGAAAATGCCAAACTAACAATAATTCAATTTTTATATTTTAATACTCCGTAATATATTAAAGGGAGTATATTAGTATTTGTATACTGTTTCTAATTCACATTACTTGTAATTACCGGAAATAGCAATTTTATTCAAGGTTAATAGAATCCAAGGGCCTACTTCCACACTCTTGGTGAGCATTAGGATTCAATTCACGACTTTTTGTCATAGGAAACTGAAAATATATTGTTGGAAATTTTAGCATTATCTTGGTGAACGAAGTCCATCAAAATGATATTGAAAGGTAAGAGTAACAAACTCAATAAATATATTTATTTACAGTATCAGTTGTGTTGGAGGTCTTTTATTGTGAATAAATATTACTGTTAAATTGTCTTATATGTATATTCTATTTAGTGATTAATGTTATGAAGTATATCTGAAACATTATCTTTACCGTCATGTAATTATAGCATTGTTGGGTAATTACTAATTGGAGCACAAAGCCCATCAAGGATAAGATAAATTGGCAGAATGTGAAAGTCCAAACAATAAGTAGGGATTGACGTGTGTGTGCTGGAGAGTGCTCAATGGAAGTTACACACGTGACACGTCCAATTCAGTTCCAGTTACTTCGTGGTCCATAAAATCCATCATTGGAACTTCAGAAAAATATGATACCCAAATTACAAGATTATAAGAGACGTGACTTATATGAAAGGTCCCTTTTCTTTCAATGCTTTCTTAGTTTAATGTTTTATGTTTTTCTTGCTTTGGGTAGAATTCAGGCTTGCCTATTTTGCTCCACTTGGCCACCTGTTTCTCTCCTTTGCTTTCAAACTGTTATTGACAAATTAGGGAGAAGAGAGAATGAATAGCTTTTACATTGCTTGATCATTATTTATCAATAGATTGAGTATTTATACAAAACTATTAGGAAAGATATGATATATTATTTTATTACAATATATATTTTCTTATAGTTTATCTTAGGGAAAGATAATTAGTTTCCTAAATTAGATAAGTTTTGGTTTCCTTGTTACTCAAGAAGAGATCTTGTATAAATATGGAGGTTGGTGGAATATTATGATCAAGATATACAATTCTAAATTCTTCTAATTCTCTTAATATTATCACGGTATCGGAGCTAAGGTTCCTTCAATAAACAAATCTTGAATTTTTTTTTTAATTCACCATGGATGACACTCCACCTCCACCTCCACCAAAAATCGAGACTAATTCTCCCTTCTACCTCGGACCCCAAGACCGTCCGGGTGACTTCATAACCTCCCAAAGACTTAAACTTGATAATTACAATGAATGGTCACATGCAATTTTTATAGCATTGTCATCGAGGCGTAAATTTGGTTTTCTCGATGGCACCATAACAAGCTATGCTCCCCCCTGCACTAAAGATGATTGGATCACGATACACTGTATGCTCGTATCGTGGCTTATGAACACTATTGCCCCAGAGGTCCGTTCAATGCTCTCGTACTACGACAATGCTAAGAAGTTATGGGACGATTTGCAAGAACGATTTGGCCTTGTGAATGGCCCTCGTATTCAACAATTAAAATCGGAAATCAGTCGATGTGAACAGCCCAAATCAATGTCAGTTGCGGTTTATTACAGCAAGTTATCGGTCTTATGGGATGAGCTAGATAAACATGAGCCATTGATAGGTTGCAAGTGCGGCAAGTGTATGTGTGATGTGGGGAAGCAGCACGCTGCTAGACGTGATGGTGATCGTCTACAACAATTTTTGCTTGGGCTAAATTCTTATTTCTATGCCGCACTACGCTCCACTCTCCTCTCTCAAGACCCTTTACCCTCCTTGAATCGAGCATATCAAACCATTGCTCAAGAGGAGCGTGTGCGAGGCATTGCTAGCCATAAAGAAGAACCTCCCGAAGCGGTTAGCTTTGCGGTTCGAATGGAGAACAACTCCAAGCCTCGTCTTTCCCGTGCCGAGAGAGCAGCTTTAGAGTGCACACATTGCCACAAAAAGGGTCATGATGCTACCACTTGCTTCGACAAACATGGCGTCCCCTCTTGGTACATCGAGAAATATGGCTCGAAAGAAAATAATAGGGGGGCTGGACGAGGCAGAGGTGCGCCACTCAAGGCCAACGCCACCCCTGCCCCTGCAGCAGCCAGCACGGCCCCTGCCACCATGGCTGCCCCGAATCTCACCCCTGAACAGTGGCACGCTCTCATGGCTGTTTTGGGTAATTCATCCCCAATAACCAACCGTGTGAATGGTAAGTGGATCGTGGATACCGGTTGCTCCCATCATGTAACCGGCGATCTTTCTTGCTTGGTTGAAGTTCATGATGTCCCGTCTTGCAACGTTGGTCTTTCGGATGGCCAAAGTGTTGTGGCCATGAAAGAAGGAGTTGTAAATTTGACAGACAAAATCACTCTTTATAATGTTCTTTTTGTCCCAAAATTAAATTGTAACTTGATTTCGGTTTCACAATTATGCTCTACGAACAATTGTGAAGTCATAACTAACTCTATCACTTGTACTATACAGGACCAACGCACGAGGGAGGTGATTGGCACGGGTGATCTAAGAGATGGACTATACTATTTTCGAGAGGAGGCATCCATAGCGGTCGTTTCTATTGAAGACTCATCCAACTTGAAACTTTGGCATAAAAGATTGGGGCACCCTTCCGAGAAAGTTGTAAAACTCCTACCTTTTCTTCGTACTTCTAGAGGTCATTTAAATAAAGATTGTGAAGTGTGTCTTCGTTCTAAACACACTAGAGACAAATTTCCTTTAAGTGATAATAAAGCTTCTCGTATTTTTGAAATAGTTCATTGTGATTTATGGGGGCCATACAACGAACCCTCCTCTTGTGGTGCTCACTATTTTTTGACTTTGGTGGATGATTATTCTCGCGCAGTTTGGATATATTTATTGATTGATAAAACTGAGGTGTTTAAGATGTTTATGTCTTTTATAGCCATGATTGATAGACAATTTTCTCAGAAAATAAAAATAGTACGCAGTGATAATGGTACCGAATTTTTTTCTTTGAAAATTTATTTTTTGGCTCAAGGAATTATTTTTCAGACCTCTTGTGTGGGTACTCCTCAACAAAACGGGAGGGTTGAGAGAAAACACCAACATATCCTTAATGTTGCTCGTGCCCTTCGATTTCAGGGGGGGTTACCAATCTATTTTTAGGGAGAATGTGCCCTTGTTGCGGCTCATCTGATAAATAGGACACCTTCAATACTTCTTAATAATAAAACCCCTTATGAGTTGTTATTTGGTACCCCACCTTCGTTTAGTGAGTTACGTGTGTTTGGGTCTTTGTGCTTTGCTCATAATCAAAAGGTAAAAGGTGACAAATTTGCAAGTCGTAGTCGTAAATGTGTCTTTGTTGGTTATCCTTTTGGGAAGAAATGATGGTATTTATATGATCTAGATAAAAAGGTTTTTTTTACCTCACGAGATGTTCGATTTTTTGAGGATGTGTATCCCTAATTGGATGTTGAGAGTACCAACATTGATATTTCAAAACCAAATTTTGAGTCAAGTATTGATATGGGAGGTGACTTGGTTTTCCCATATAATCCCGAGGAGAGTTGCATCACTCTCGAGGTTCTCACTCAGCAGCGACCGGCTGTGGTTAGTGCGCCAACACCACAGTCGGCCAAGGCCCTTGCGCAAGAGCAGCCGCATATGGCAACCACGGACCCCGATGATATGGGTCGTGGGCATCGACAGAAATTTGCTAATAGCAAATACAAGGATTTTGTCACTCATACTCAGATTTCTCGAAATAGTCCATCTTCTTCACCTGATCCAACCTTCCCACCTCCCTCAGGTATGTCGTATCCTATAGCACATTATGTTAGTTGTGATATGTTTTCTGCAAAACATCGAAATTTTGTTGCAGCAATAACAACAGGTAGAGAGCCTCGTTCCTTCAAAAAGGCAATGCAAGATGAAGATTGGAAATTAGCAATGACTGCAGAAATGCGTGCTCTTGAAAATAATGGTACGTGGACCTTGGAGAATTTGCCTCCCGGGAAGAAAGCCCTTGGTAGTCAATGGTTGTACAAAATTAAGTACAACTCTGATGGAAGCATTGAGCGACTCAAAGCTCGCTTGGTTGTGTATGGTAATCATCAAACCGAAGGCATTGATTATGATGAAACTTTTGCCCCGGTAGTCAAGATGACGACTGTTCATGCTTTTCTTGCTATAGCCGCCTCGAAAAATTGGGAACTACATCAAATGGATGTTCACAATGCGTTCCTTCATGGTGATTTACACGAGGAAGTTTATATGAAACTCCCTCCGGGTTTTACTGTGGATGACCCTAAACTTGTTTGTCGTCTTCGAAAATCTTTATATGGTCTTAAACAGGCGCCTAGGTGTTGGTTTGCCAAGCTCACAACTGCTTTGAAGAAATATGGTTTTGTACAATCACACCCGGACTACTCTCTTTTTACTTATACTCATGGGTCCATTCAGCTAAACGTACTCGTATATGTTGATGATTTAATTGTGGCCGGAAATAATTCGAACGCTATCAAATTATTCAAAAATTATTTGAGCTCTTGTTTTCACATGAAAGACTTGGGTGTGCTCAAGTATTTTCTCGGCATTGAAGTGGCTAGGAGTTCCAAGGGGTTATTTTTGAGTCAACGTAAGTACGCTCTTGACATTCTTTCGGAGACGGGACTCATGGGGTCGAAACCTGCTAACACCCCGATGGAACAAAACCATCGTTTGGCTCATGCCACAGGGCCGCTGCTCACAGACCCAGCAGCATATAGGAGGCTAGTTGGACGCTTAGTTTATTTGGGTGTTACACGTCCAGACCTCACATAATCGGTGCACGTTTTGTCACAATTCATGAAAGCACCGAAGCAAGAACACTGGGAGGCTGCTCTTAGAGTTGTTCGTTACCTCAAATGTGCCCCGAGTCAAGGCATTTTACTAAGGTCGGATAGTGAACTTGCTTTGCACGGTTGGTGTGACTCCGACTGGGCAGCATTCCCTCTCACTCGGAGGTCTCTGTCGGGGTGGCTTGTCTTCTTAGGCCACTCCCCGATTGCTTGGAAAACAAAGAAGCAAGACACGGTTGCAACGTCCTCCGCCGAGGCTGAATATCGGTTTATGTATGCTATTACGTGTGAAATGAAGTGGTTAAAGGGCTTACTTCTTAGTTTGGGCATCCAACATCCCCGTGCTATACCAATTTATTGTGATAGTCAAGCGGCTATTCATATTGCTCAAAATCCCGAGTTTCACGAACGCACAAAACATATTGAAGTGGATTGCCACTTTGTTAGAGATGCTATTCAAGAGGGTCTTATTACTACTACTCATGTGCGTACCAATGAGCAATTGGCCGACATATTTACTAAGGCCTTGGGTAGATCACAATTTGAGTATCTCTTAAGCAAGTTGGGCATCTTTAATTCAAGTGCTCCAACTTGAGGGGGGGTATTAGGAAAGATATGATATATTATTTGATTACAAGATATATTTTCTTATAGTTTATCTTAGGGAAAGATAATTAGTTTCCTAAGTTAGATAAGTTTTGGTTTCCTTGTTTCTCAAGGAGAGATCTTGTATAAATATGGAGGTTGGTGGAATATTATGATCAAGATATACAATTCTAAATTCTTCTAATTCTCTTAATATTATCAAAACCTATGCTCATAAGATAGGAAACAATCTTCCCAAAAGATATACCATATATCCTAATGATATATTCACTAAATCATATCTTAACATAAAATAAACCTAAATATATTATTCCATTAATGATATCTACGGAAAATATACCATACATATATTTTCCGATATCTCATATCAAAAAAACACCCTCCCGCAATCGTAACGGCAGTAACACGAACGTTGTGATTGGAAATTCTTCAATTTGTTGAAGTCGAGATGCACACTCTTGTGATGTCGCCTTCAATTTTTTGAGGAACGTCATTCTTTTCGAACCTGCAAATAACAATTTTTGGTTTAACCAGATCAAAACCGAGCTCCAATCAAATATTGGTTTTTCAAGAGTAAACCACACTCAAATCTTTTATTGGTCTTTCAGAGTAAACCACACTCTCAAATCTAACTGAGCAAATTCATGCTCGAATCAACTCACAAACCTTGTCTCACGGCACAAGAAGAACCAAATATATCTTGTCTCACGACACAAGATAGCCGATTTTTTTTTTTAATATTGCGTCAAGCATAACGCTATTTAATGTCTTTATCTCCAAAGATGTGTTATAGTGGAGGAAGTCCACTCACATACTCCCACAAAAAAAAAAAAAAAAAAAAAAAAAACACATACACATATGATTAACGTGTACCAACCCAAAAAAATAAAAATTTAAAGAGTATTAATATTGCATAACGGAAGCAAAATTTTGAATCCAACCGGTGGGTTTAACTTTCTAACCCACCGGCAGGGGGGAAAATTTTTGTGAGCGATCCCAAGATTTAACCTGCTCTTGATACCATGACAAATTAGGGAGAAGAGAGAATGAATAGCTTTTGTATTGCTTGATCATTATTCATCAATAGGTTGAGTATTTATACAAAACCTATGCTCATACGATAGGAAACAATCTTCCCAAAACATATACCATATATCCTAATAATATATTCACTAAATCATATCTTAACATAAAATAAACCTAAATATATTATTCCATTAATGATATCTACGGAAAATATATCATACATATATTTTCCGATATCTCATATCTCTAATAGTTATGTTCCTAAATGACCTTCCTCGTCTAGTTGTTATATAATGTTTCTTCGTTTTGTTAAAAAAAAAAAAAGACTTATATGAAAGGTCAACTTCCAATTGTATGTGCAAGGCTCAATTTTGAATGTAGAATCAGTAATTAACCATTAGAAGCAATAACAAATAAATGATAAACAATCATATACAGTGAAATCATGATAACTTCCTACTTTTATTTGCTCTTTGAATAATAGATCTGTTGATGAGTTTGTAAATGAGTTTGAGGCCAGGCCAAGTAATGAAACTATGACTCTTCTAACAAGATTATTTGGAGTCAAAAAAAAAAAAAAAAAGACCACGAATGTCGTATAATAATAGTCAAAAGTTGACCATCAATTTAATAACAAGCTAAGGTTGAATTTAGCTAAGATAAATGATGTAAGATAGAAAAAAAGGTTGTATGGTTTGGAGTTGGGCTGAGTTATCCAGGATTAGAAGGGGAGGCCCAAGTTGTATAAAAGTAAAATGGAGAGAACATGCAAATCAATAGGTCTAAGATGCACACTTGTGCACCTATTTTAGATGCAACACCAGCCTACAAGCTCAATTTTAAACACGCCCTATTAAAAAAGCCCCAAACCAAATGAGTCCACCCAAAAACTGAACATATTTTTTTTAAAATACAGCCCACTTAACCATCACTTTCAACAACTATTATTTTTTAAATATATTTTTTAAAAAAGTGCTACTCTTAAGTTTAAGTTTCTGAAATTTATTACTCCTCTCTTTGATTTTCTCTCTCTAACAATCAAACACAATTCACTCTTTCTCTTCAAAAACAACCATGAATATTTGAGATGAGATGAAAAATTAAACGGATTCTCCCCCATAAGGCAATTTTATGTAAATTTCACTTAATTTTGTTTGAATTTATATGATTATCACTTAATTTTGTTTGAATATTGAACGATACTCTATTGTTCGAAATCTTTTATTGGAATTGTAAAAAAAAATTAGTGAAATCAAACCGATACCTTATGTTCACATTTTAAATGCATATGTTCATATTTTGAATACTTATGTTCACTTTCTGAAATGCATATGTTCATATTTTTTTATGCATATGTTCACTTTCTTAAATGCTTATGTTCATATATTGAATCCTTTTGTAAACTTTATGGAAATGCATATATTCACTTTCTAAATCCATATGTTCATATTTTTTATGTTTACATTCACCTTCTAAAATGCTTAATTATGTTCATACGTATTAAAAATGAACCAATGCATATGTTCATATTTTGAATGCGTATGTCCATTTTCTAAAATGCATATGTTCATATTTTTAATACTTATAATGCATATATTTTATAATCATATTATTTTGTTTTCTTCAATTATTTATGTTCATAATTAAATGCCTTATATTCATAGAAAATATTTGTTATTCATGAAATATTCTCATTAAGTCTGTTTGTGCATATGTTCTGTTTCTTAAATGCATATGTTTATATTTTTTACGCATATGTTCAACTTTTAAATGCTTATATTCTCTTTAAGGAAACCAATGCTTACGTTCATTTATTGAATTGTTATGTAACTTTCTGAAATGCATATGTTCATATTTTTTATGCCTATGTTCACATTTTGAAAAGCTAATGTTCACATTTAAGGAAACCTATGCATA